TATATATATATATATATATATATATATATATATATATATATATATATACACTTTTTTTTTAACAAGTGAAAATAAAATGGTGTTTAAAAGAAAATGTAACAGAAAACAGCTAGGTTGTAAGACGATGTAAAAACTTGAAAACAGGAACATGTGCGCATTGGTTTTTCCCAGGAACTTAACAGATGTTTAAAGCCACTTAGAGAGGTCGAGAGCTTCAGATCTTTTTGCAAGATATTCCAGGAAACAGGAGCGGAGTGGGAAAGATTCTGCCACTTGATGCAGTTTTATATTTTAAATTTGAAAAAAAATCAACATAACACCAGATTTGGGTAATTTCGTATCGATTTTAATAAATACGTGGCCTCATTTTGGTCTCCATGTAACTCTTTTTGCAGTGTAAATGGTAAATGGACTGTACTTATATAGCATCTTTCTATCTAATCAAGATACTCAAAGCTCTTTACACTATAATCTGTTCCCTTATGTACTCATTCATACAGCACTCTACTATATTTATACAAAGAATAATCAGAGCTTTATCACATTCATACACTGATGAGACACACATCGGAGGCAATGAGGGGGACACTTCGGCGTGCGACTGCTGGTGGGATCAAACCCCCAACTCTTGCATTGGAAGATGACTGCTCTCACAACTCAGCCACAGCTGTCCTTAGTGTGTTTAATTTGATCTAATTTTGATTGTTGTGATACTTCCTGGCTTCCTTTTTTTCTTACCTTTATTTATACAGGTAGTCTCATTGAATCACAAGGACTAATTTTCAAGAGAGACCTGTTTGGGAGCTGATGGTGATAGTGGTGTGTGTGTGTGTGTGTGTGGGGGGGGGGGAGGGGGGGGTTAAGAGCCTTGCTCAAAGGCCTAGAGTGGGGCAAATGAGGGTGGAGGCAGGTGTGTTTCACTTTTTCCACCCACATTTTGATGTTGTCGGTCCGAGGAGTCAAACTGGCGACCTTCCTATCACAGGTCCACCTTCTCTAACCTCTGAACCACCACTCCCCTATGCAGGGGACTGAGCTGGGAGAAAGCATGAGACTCAGAAACTTCACTTAATACTCTATCGATAATTAAAATGCACACAAATTGACCTTACTGTTCAAAAATAGTCATTTGTTTACCATTGCACCGCAGTTCGCAAAATCAAGCTAATACTTCATTTCACAGTCCAAACTGAGCAGCTCATCGCTCCAACATAAATCATCTTTGATGCTTTCTTTCTGCTAGCAGTTTGCAGTAGAGGCCCCTGATGTTGCTTCTCTAATATTCGCATCACTTTTCTGACAGTCACAGACCAGCAGCGCTGTGGGGAATACATTAAACGCAAGTCTTTGCGCATCATGTCAAACAAATATTTAAATGTGATTTGCAAAGACAGAAGCAAAAATAAAAAGATGTACAGTGTCAACAACTTGAGCATTTGTGCACCCACAGCTAGACTTTAGGGGCACTGCCAGGCCCGCGCTCCCTTTAGCTCTGACATCATGAGCTGATGAGAGGATGTGAGCAAATGTGCAGGAAATCCAATGCTAATCTGCAGACCCTGCAAACAAAGGCCCTCTGTACATAGAAAACTAAAGCTGGGTGACAGCCTGTCACACATACGCAAGGTTGATGCTATCCTAAAAGGGTGATTTAGCACTTTTCTTTTGGCTGCAATGCATTCCTGCACCTGCAAGAACTCCTAGTATCAGCATATTTACTTGCAGCTCTAGTAATTTATTGTTAAAGAACAGATTCAGAGATGAAAGGGTGTTAAAATTAATTCCACATTCTTCCTGTTGTATTTAAAGGCACATTAATCCGCACACTGCATCTATCTTTTTTGTATCGGTGTAGCACATCTTCTTGGTCGGTTCTACTAAATGTATGGTCCGAACAGAAAACGCTTTAATCAGAGACAAATTTTTGGTTTCAGGGTTTTATTTTCATTTTGTGTGTGTGTGTGTGTGTTTGGAATGTTAATTCATAGAAGCATGACTGAAGTTTTCCATGTGTTAGATGTGTAGCACCATCTGCTGCCAATTCAAGCACAGGACAGGAAACAAACACAAAAGATGCTAACTTAAGCTTACCTACATATTGTGTTCTTTAAAACAGTTTTCTTTGCATGAAGTTTGAAAAATACAATCTATACGTCCACAGTTGTTCAGCACTTATAAGGTTTCCGATGATATCCCCTCAGGTTTTCAGAATATCACCCTCATTTATTAAGGCTTAACGTGTGGAGGGCAGAGTGTCGACTTTGACAGTTACAGATGAAAACTCATTAGGAGACGGAGGCTATTTTTAGGCCTTCGTTAATTTTAGCAGTCTTTGAATGTCAGGCTCTATTTCAATGGTGGGGAACTTTCTGCTGTATCTCTTAAAGGGCTCTCCCTCCGGCCCAATGAGGAACTTCTCAAAGTTCCAGGAGACGTCCGTCCTGCTGATGGGACTCCAGACCAGAAATTTGGGATCCTGCATGAGGGAGCTGGGGTCGTCGTGGGGATAGGGGAGCTTGTCTTTCAGGTAGGCGAAGACTGGATGTGTGTTTTCTCCGTTGACGTTGCACTTCTCGAAGATGGTGAAGTTGGGTTTGAAGCCACTACCTGGACGCACATGATGGAGTGAGTTCAGGATCTCACCGTTGGTGCAGTTCTCCTGCAGAACACATTTCACAATGTGAGCTCTTTTGGTCAAAACTTGAAAATAACTTTATGTGCAATGTCACGTTTTATCGCGAGATGTCACACGAGAGTGTGTTGTGAATGACAAGTACAATCACACCAATTGTTAGCACAATATTCAATTTATTTATATGGCACCAAGTCACAACAGAAGTCATCTCAGGGCACTGAACAGAAACATTCATATATTTAAAAGTTAATAACACAAATTATCTGAGGAGCAGACTGCTTTGAGTTCAACTCCATCACAGACTCTCGTCATGAGCAAGCTTAAAGGTGAGAGTGGAAAAAAAAACCTCCCTCATGAGGAAGAAACCTTTAGCAGTTCCAGGCGGCCATCTGCTACGACCAGCTGGGTTTGGTAGGAACAGATACACAATGGCAGGTCAAGAATCACATGTTGAGCTAGAAATAGTATCCAATGAAAACTATTCAATTTTAACAAATCGTTTTAAGAAATGTGGTCAATATGTCCTCCAGTATAAGCCTATAGCAGCATAACAAGCCAACCCTAACTATAGGATTAATCAAAAAGGAAAGTCTTAATCCCAGTCTCAAAACTGGACAATGTGTCAGCCTCATGGACTGAACTGGAAGTTGGTTCCACAAGAGAGGAGCCTGATAACTGGAAGATCTTCCTCCCATTCTGCTTTTGGAAACTCTAGGAACCGCAAGTAAGCCTGCAGTCTGAGAGTGAAGTGCTGTTAGGAAAATATGGTTCAATAAGATCTGTAATATAAGATGGAGCTAGATTGTTGAGGGCTTTGTAGGTTAGATTTTGAACTCTATTCTGTATATCTGTTAAATTGACCCACACACATGAATCACTGGCCTACAGTGAATATTAAGATGAACATGACTCGTGGAAGTTTTGCTGCACGGCTCACCTGGTATCCAAACTGGTTACAGGGAAAGCCCAGGACCACCAGCCGATGGGGGTACTTGCTCTGCAGATGGTTGAGCTCGCTGAAGTCCTGGGTGGTGGTGCCTCAGAGCGAGGCCACATTCTCGATGAGGACCACTCGTCCCCTGAAGACGTTGAAGTCCACCGAGTCTCCCTCCAGAGAGGTGGCCCTCAGATCATAAAAGGTTTTAGCGATGAACGTCATCTCGGCTCCTTTGCTGCCACACTGGAGGCAGCTTGGATCTCTGCATGTGACCGTACCTGAACGCCTGGTCACCTGACTCGCTTGGAGCAGAGAGTTGTCTTTCACGAGTGTCAGATAACCCTGCAGGAACCTGATCTCCAGGTGATACACTACACTCTACAAATTTCACAGATGGATGTAATGGATTCAAAAGCAAACAAGCTCATCACTCACTTTCTTAAAGTTTGCAGTATTATAAACAACTTTATTTCTTCCAAGATACATCTACTATCCTCTGAAAGTATTTGATAATTCATAAGAACGTGAACTGTACAACGTGTCATTAGATGCGTGTGGGTTTTGGATTTCTTCACGACACGTATTAGTTTTCTCAGCCATGAAAGATTTAACAGGGATCACCTGCATCTCTCAGCTTGTGATGAAAAATGAATAAACCCTCTGCCTGAACTCCCCATGCTCCTAACTTCATTACATCAGTTTTAATTTAATCACTCAGTCAGGGGCCCATCACCAGTTTTTCAGAATGAAAACTGTAATTTATTAGCTTCTATATAAATTTATTCCATTTTGATGCTAATGAAAAGAGGTCTAGCATTCCTAAAAGGGAAGCTTATCTCCTTTCACACCAGCGTTTTAAACTAAAATCAACCTATTGAGAAATGGTGGCACTTTAGCCATTTTAGTCAAACATTAAAAACAACAATATGCACAATCTTGTAATAATCTGACCTCTAGAGAAATTGCATTTCCTTGCGAAAACGCAGTGTGAATGCTTATTGCTGAAAAACTGCTGAAATTAGCTAAAAACATGCTGAAATATAGCTGAAATGGAAGAACAAGCCTAAGTTAGCAGCAGAAAGCAGAAAGAACTCGTATTTACTAAATTTGGTTTAAATAAGCAGAAACAAACACAGAAATTAGTAAATTAGCTAAACAGCTGAAATTAGCAAGAAATAGCTGAAAAGTAGCTGAAAAGGCAGAAAGAAGCTTAAGTTACCCGACAGAAGTGAAGAAAGCGTATTTCTGTCCAATTAGGTGGAAAGAATCAGAAATGAGCCAAAAGTGTAAATTATATGAAAAAAGGCAGAAATTAGTAAAAAAAAAACAAACAAAAAAAACTGCTGAATAGTAGCTAAAAAGGCAGAAAGAAGTTTAAATGACCAGAATGAAGTGGAAAGAGCACATTTTTCCTGAATTAGGCAGAATTTTTTTAATGATTGCACAAAATGTGGAATTAGCTGAAAAAGCTCAAATTAGCATAAAACAGCTAAATAATTGCTGAAATAGCATAATTAGTTGAAACTTGCAGAAATAAGCTGAAAGGAGCATAACAAGCTGAAATTAGCAGAAAGAAGTTAGAAGAAGCACAAAAATGTTGTAGTTAGCAGAAAAAAATCAGAAAGGAGCACAAAACGGCTGAAAAAAAAAACCTGCTGAAATTAACTGAAAGTAGCTGAGCTTTTTTAATTTGCACAAAGAAGCTGAAAGAAGTTGAACCAGAACAAAATGTGAAAGGAGCAGTAAAAGGTTGTAAACACATCTGAAGATTTGAAGGATGAGCTCAATTCATTTCCACTGAGAAAAAAAAAAAGTTGCATAAAAGGCTAAATATTTCAAAAAGACCAAAAGTCATGGCGGGATTATCCTGAACGAGCAGAATGTTTCCACATATGAGTTGTTGAAATAGTTTGAAAACAGCGGGACGAGAAAAGTGCCAAAAAACGTACAGAAGAAAGATGGATCACAACGATGCAGGTATGAAGTGTTCTGCATTTCAAGAAAAATGAAACGTGCATATGGATACTTTTGTCAGGTAGCAGGATTTCCTGATCATGCCATCAAACAGCCGGCTGCTTACTGCATTCATCTTCACGATTTTCAAAATAGAAAAGTAACCATGTGGCCTCATAGTCAGAAAGTCTGTGGAGTCAGGATTGAATACAGCTACATCCTAAACTTATAATGTACATGGCAGGGTGACACACTTCATTGTGTTTAACAGGTACAAGTCCTCTGAGCGACATCATCCTGACCCCCCTTCTCTTTGTCCAGAGCAACTTTGTCCAAATAGTCGTCCAGAGACCCCAACAAGCTGTCAATGTCTCTCTTGTGAGCCTGCAGCACCAGTTCTGTCACACGAATGAATGACTGCAAAGGAGACACAAATAAAAGAGTAAAAAAAAAAGACTAAATTAATCTAAATTTGGCCGTTTCCCACAACGTATATGATTTATTTTGGTTGTGAAGTACCTCACAGATGTTCCTGCTGGTGGAAGCACTGACCTCAAAGAACTCCATCCCATAGTTCTCTGCTAACTGGAAGATTCAAGTGGATATGGTTGGAAATAGTATTATTTTATGGCTTATTTCTCTCTACAAGTACACAGATATGAGCTTTATGAGACTATCTAGCTTGGTTAAAAGCAAAAAAATGCATTTTTTTTCTATTAATGCACTATGTTATTGAGATAAACCACTTTCATCAGCTGATAATGGCACTTTAAAATAAGGGTAAACCAAACCCTGTATCCTTGGTCCTTTGTCACTTGTCTCCTCATCTCCTCATCAGCCTTGTTTCCTACTAGAATTGTCTGCACTTCATCTGGGGCCAACTAGAAGAAAATACAAATACAAACAAAGCCAGACAAATTGAACAAAGATAATGTTGCCAATCTCACAAAAAGCAGTTAAAAGTGCTACAAGGAATGCAAATAAAGTGTCAGAATTAAGTGCACTGCATTAAAATGGCAGCTCTTATTGCCTTACTTCATCCACGTCACTGGCCCACTTCACTATGTTCTGAAAGGACGGCTCGTTTGTGATGTCATACACAAATACAATACCCTGCACAAGAACAAATGAGCTGGATTAAAGAATGAAGTTTGATACAAAAAGAATAATTCCGCTCTTGACTCCTTATACTTCTGCCCGCCTGTAGTACTGCTTGGTGATGGTTTGGTACCGTTCCTGTCCTGCTGTGTCCCTGCCCAGAAGACAAAAAGGCACATGAGAATAGAATCACACCATATGTGGGCCAGAACCTAATGCAACACAACGCTACATACCAGATCTGGACTCGGACTTTGGTTCCATCTATTTCTATTGTTTTCATTTTAAAGTCGACTCCTGAAGAAACAAGAGGAAGGCATTTTGTGTCACTGAAAGCAAACAAAACTCATCAAAAACAGAAATTGTACTGCTTTCAAACACCATCAGTTAGGAGTCCATGTTGTTTCATTCCTTCAGCCAGAATTAAAACTTACGGTACTCTGTCTGAGGTGTGACAAACCAACATCGTGCTAAATTATTTCACAGTAAATAAAGTGGGAAAAGTCTGTACTTCCTCCTTTTTTGTTGTTCCTCCTGATCTAATGAGATCTAATAACACCAGAATACAAACTGTTTAAAGACTGGGCTTCAGTGTTAAGACACTTTTCATCACAAGTACATTCTGCACCACACATTTATATTTAAAGATGAAAAACTTGATTCGCCTCCATCTCCTCTTCTAACGTGGTTGATATTATTAATGAGTGTGCAACACTAAATCGTATGCTAGTCCTCACTTTATGTGTCCTACAATCTAATTTTTAAACACCCTAACATCTGGCAACTGTTCTAGGGTGGGTTTACTCATCTATCTGTGCTCACCATGGGGTCTTAGAGGTGACAGTTAAATATAAATTACAGCGCTCTAAAAGCACACTGGGCTATTTTCATCCTGGCACAGATCCACATGGTGACAAATGTCTCTTGTGTCCAGTTACACATGTTCTGATCTTTTCTGCCCCGTCTGTTTTGGACGTCAGTGCATGACACACTCTCCATCATCACATCTGTCAGCATCCAGCCCTCACCCTTGGCAGTCCCGTCTGATGTCCTTCCCACGGACATCTCATTATATTTGTTGAGCATGTAGCATTTCTCCTCCTGCCACTGTTTCTGTTGCCCGAATGGCACAAGAGGAAATAAAACCTTTCCTTTCCACCTCAATATTTAAAAAAAATCCACCAAATTTGTGAACTTCTCATGACTTGCTCAGAGACGTCATCGTCACTGATGAGAGTGGAGGCGCTGCACACAATGAGGGGGTGCAGCTGATGTCAGAGAACGTGTAGGAGGGATTTTCAGCTAGGTAGAAGGAAGCTGTGAAATGTGGCTGAACAGCCCTGGGCTGCAGAAATACTGGTTGCTATTCAAACAAAGGCTGCACAGCCGACTGTTCGCACGCAGTCTTTTCAACAGATGAGTTTACTTTGAAATGCATCCCTTCGATGCTTATCTGAGAAGTGAACGTGCTGCTTTAGGTTGTGCAAAAGTCCTGAACTACTCCTCGCTTAGGCTGGATTAAAAGCTGAGACGGTCTTCTTCTTTGTTCAATTTTGCACGGTGCGCTGTACAATTTTGAATAACAATAAAGTTTATATTTATTTATTGTTGTGCAACAGTCTTCAAGACTTTCTGTGGACCATGCCCTGCAGAAACAGTCCCCAGCCCATCTTCTGTACACCAGGTTTGTATTTCAGAGGTGCGCAACACTGCTTTTTAATTCCCGAGCAACTCGCAGGACGGAGTTAAGTGACTCGGCCACTAATAAGCACGTTGCTCTGAAAGAGATCAAACACACTGAACTGAAAATGGATTAAAAAGAAACAGTCAGGGGTTTTTAGAAAACCTGGAAACATATGCATCAAGACGAGTTTAAAACCTATACGGCATTTCCACAGTAGCAAAACTGACTCAAACTATCAACTATTAATATTTCCCTCTCAACTAAATTTCAGTGTATTGTGATAAATCGACAACGAAAACCCAGCATTTCTCAGTTTCGCGCCCATTAAAACAAGGGACAGCAATGCTTGTTCTTTACCGACAGTGCTTTTGCTTGTGCCTGTGTGTTCATTCGTCTGCAACATTAGTAAAATATCTCATGAAACACTGAATGCACTTTAAAAAAAAACGTTCAGAAAGACATCAGTGGATGTGAATCTACAGCTGATGAACTAAAACTGGCTTTCACAGCTAATCAAGTTTAGTCAACGCAAAAGTTCTTATACCCGAGTGAATTTTACAGATGTTGAGCTCAAATTTGGAAAGTTTTTCAGAACTCCAGGGGTTAAAGGCAAGCTGACATAAGATATTTGATCAATGTGGCTACAACTCCCATTTTCTCTCATTATAAGAAGTCAATTAGCTTAAAATCAGCATGAAAGGCGGCGGGCGATATGCATTCCTCCACTGAATGCTTGAATGTGTGAAATCATTATTGACTGCAGGAGTGAAGGTGAGCCAGATTGCACAAAGGCTTTAAGCTAAAGGAGTTATTTTATGCAGCTTTTTCAGACACTATCAGCGTTTGCTGCATTTTGCACGTTAGAGAAGGCCATTTTTACTTTTTTTGTAAAGCAGTGTTAAAGAATGAGCCACGACACTTAATGTGCAGGATTCAATCATGCTCAAGTTTCTAACAGCAAAGTCCTTTGACTGAACGACATGGAGCCCTTCTCACCTGACCCAAATCCTACTTAAAATGTGAGATTTGCACAGAGGTGCCCAATTGTGTTGCAGACTAAACAATATTTTTTTTGAGTTTGAGAAACATTTTTAAATGACAGAGCTTACTGGGCAAATGTATTTATTTGTTATCACAACAGCAAAATCATAAAAAAAACACTTTTTATCTGCTTTGTGGTTACTGATGGCATTTAGATCTTCCATATGCCTTCAAAAAAATATGGAAAACAATCTGTAAATCAAAAGAAATACTGCAAGCTTTCTCTTTTCCTGAGTAATTAGTGACAGAGACAAAGCCCTTTTAACTTGGCTCTGCTGTGCAATTAGATGGTCTGCATGTCTCTTGTTAGCTGATGCAGAGAGAAATTGACCAGGACTGAAAATTATTCAGCAGTGACTAATAACTGACCATCTCTAATGCACTTGTTTTTTTTTTTTAAATAACTCATCCCATGTTGAAACGTCCTATGATGTTTTAAAGTAATGCTCCCCAGAATAAAAGTGAACTTTATTTTGCAGCCACAACAAATTACAGCCAACCACCTGCCTCCAAATGTTAATGCAGAAAACAGAAAATTAATGTAAAAGTGTTCAGAAAGAATGGGTTAAATCAAAGTGCTTTATAGTTTAAATAAAAAAAATCTACTGTAGTGGACAGGGTGGTGTTTAGCCGGTTAATCTTGTGATAGACATGCACAAATGAACTAAAATTACTAATTTAAACTTGTTTGATGGCTTCTTCTTACCAATGGTGGAAATGTGTGAAGGATCAAATTCTCCCTCCGTGAACCTGCGCAACATGCACGTCTTTCCGACCCCTGAGTCTCCGAGAAGGAGCAGCCTGAACAAAACGTCGTACTGTTTGGCCATGACTCCAAAAACTTACAATTTCCCACACGGCATAACTTTATCATGAGACCTGTGGAGCTGAACGTCCTCTGATTCGATGCTGCATTCAGGGCACCTCGGATATTCCCCCTTCCAAGCTCGGAAGTTCCGCAAGTAGCAGCCCAGTAAAAGGAGATTTGTTAAAATACGAAGCATTTTGTAATAAATATAAAATAATTTGTACCCCTGAGGATTACTAAAAGGTAACTGATATTCCAAATGTTATGACTAATCTAATCAAGAATAATTTAGATCAGATCCCAACCCCCAGATTGCATAAAATAATTAATTATATAAACTTTGTAAATAAAAAATGCAATAATATAATTTTGAAAAATATTTTAATCGACAAGATCTATCCTGGGTCCTCCAAAAGAATATATCAATTAAAAAAAATACCTTAACAAAACAAGAAATTAGATCAATCAGAACTAAATTTATGAAATTTCCAATACCCCCTGAAGTGAAAGAATTCCACTTTAAAACTGTAAATGAAATTTACCCTTCACAGGAGTTCTTTAAAAGATTATTAAATTTTGAAATGGAGAATTGTTATTTTTGTAAATCCATGTTGGAATCAACAGAACGCGTGTTTTACGAATGTGAGATTGTAAGTGGTTTTTAGAAGGAGTTACATAACTGGTTGATATCTAAGTCCCTTCATTTTTTTTTTTCTTGGAAATAAATCAAATTTGGAATTTTATTAAAGAATAAAAAAAAATGGAATATTTGAGCAATAATATAATGTTTGCCAAATTCTACATTCATAAATGTCGTTTCACAAAAGCTCTTCCTATTGTAAAAGCGTTTAAAAATGAGTTTGTATTATTTGGTAAATCTTTTTTAAAAAATTGACAGCCCCTGCTATCAAACTTTTCTCTATTTTTTTCAGAGTTTAAATTGCTATAAACCCGAGGATTTAGTTTAATTTTTACTTGTTAAATTTTAAGGTATTATTTCCTGAAGTTTTTTAAAAAATTTTATACATATATTTTGATGTGTATAATAACAAAATTTTAGTAATATTAAGTAATATGCTTGGGATAAAAATGTTGTTATTGATAGGGAGGTTTCGTTATGTTAGCTGAAATAGATGTTAAATGTGAAATTGTCATTGCCTTTTTTTTTTCTTATTCTTAAATAAAAATAAAAAGTAGCAGCCCAGTAAGGTAGAAGGTTATAAAAACATGGCGATGTCATTTAAAAAAAATTGAACTTAATGTTAGTTGTATTTTATTTGATGTGTTCTCGTTTATATCACAACCTAAGCCCATTCGTTTAGTTGTAGCCCACATAAAACTGTAATTTCCCACAGCATCAAAAGCAGCACAAGGCCAGCATCCTTCAACTGGCTGCTTTCTACAGCAGGAGTGACAGAACAAAAAGGATGAGACACAATTAACATTTTAACATTAAACATGATCACAAATTGTCTCATTTGCTTGCCTAATGTCCAAAAATGTACAATATGACAAAAAAGTTTACAATTCTATTGTCATGTGCCAACACAAGGTGACAATAATATTGATGTTATTGCTCCTGTCAACAAAACATCATGAACCACTGGACAGATGTTGATGAAACTTTTAGAAAGTAATATATGGCTGTACATCGTCAATGATTAACTTTTGCACTCAGTTCCAAATGTCCACCATAACTAATTAAGTCTATACATAAAGTTTTGCAGATAAGAAATCAAATTTGATGATGTAACGGTACCGAATCATCCATAACATTCTCTGAGTGTGAGGTCTTGCAGAATTACACGAAACTGCATGTAGTTATTTTCAAGTTTGGACCAAAATAGCACTTGTGTCATTTCACGGTATAAAACAAGTCTAAAACTCCAGCATGAATAGAAACAGTTTTGATTCTAGTGAGTTTTATAAAAATAATTAAAAAAAACTGGTATTTTAAAGCTTATCTCAGAGAAATACTGTAGAAACAAGATTTTTGCACGCGTTCAGTAACAACACACCGAGCCATGAATACATCCAAAAAGGATAAAATAGTTTTATTTATAATCTCATAATAAAGGTATGCCTTAACTTGCAAGACAACCATTGGCAGTATGTACAACATACCTGTAATTTCCATGGAATGGAACAAATATTTATTACACACGTTTTTTTTTTTCCTCCTTTTTCTTTGAAGTTCAACATTCCCAGCACAGGCAACTATAAGGGAAGGCTTGTCTTTGCAGAACTGACACCATTTAGGAGTATACAGTGTTATATACTACACACTGAAATGGACTTCCACTAACAAAAATAAAGGTTACTGCCCTTTAACTTCATTGCGTAACATTCAGTATCAATTAAGTGATTTGTTTTTTTTAATTATATCACATTTATTTACTGAGAATAACAAAAAGAGGACAAGAAATACCCGAAGCTGTGAAAATCATTCAATACAGATATCAGTCATAAATACACTCTGTAGGTTGCAAAACTAATTTTGGTGCATCATTATAAAGAGAAATTTGTTTCATTGAACGTCGGTTTCAAAGATAAAACCTCAGGGGGGTGGTTCTTCTTGCATATCAGACACTTTTACTAAAAACAATTTGACATTCTTCTCTGGAAAAGTATAATAAAAACACACTCTCTAATTATCATTCCATCAAAAGTGGTAGTCTCGCAACCGACTGCAAAGGTTGTCCAAAAGAAAGGATATTTTTATAGCTTTATTAAAGACTCGTACAATGTAATTTCATGAACAGTATCACGTCTTTCAAAGACTGCTGAGCTGCCTCACTTTGGGGATCGTAAAAGTCGTTGCTGGGCCACAAAAACAGTGACGGGATGCAGATACAGCAAGGTAGAAGCGTTTTGTACAAACACTAACAGCACCAATCACACTGTCTCTACCGTGGGGCTTAGACTGGTGTAAAAAGGGGAGGAGCGAGAAAAGGGCAAGGTAAGAGAAGCTGGTGGGTACGGAGAGTCCGTCTGAACATCAAGGACAGGAGCGCCTGAGTTTAGATGGGCTCCACGCGCAGCTTCTTTCTGCTGGGCGGCTCGTCCGGCTCTGATTCTGAGGTGGAGTCGGACCCGCCGTCGAAGGCAGACACGGCGCTCCCTTTGCGGTTTGTGTACAAGCTGCTTTCAGTAGAGTAGTTTGTCTGGAGCTGAGTGTTCCCTTTGGCCTTCTCCAGTGCACGAACTTAGACGATATGAAAACAAGTGAAGTAAAGCACAAAGAATAAGTGACCGTGCACATTTGTTAGGTGTGGAATTCCTCTCTTACCCTGCTGCTCCAGCAGTGCGTTTTGCTTCTTTAAGTCATCGATGTCTTGCTGGTGGCTGTGATTTTTTCTCCTCATGAACTGGATGTATTCTGTGGCTTTGTCTAAAATTTGTGCTCGTGACGCCTGTTGAACAGAGACAAACAGCTGAGACAACTCTACAGAGTAGGCGTGCACCGATTGCAGTTTTCTGGCAGATCACGATCTCTAAAAAGCCTGACTTGTCGATTCCGATTTTGGCCAATACTGGTTTTGTTTCATAAGTGACACTGTCAGGTGGTATAAGGTCACAATGCACTTTCAATTTTCCAACATTATTTTATTGAAAAACTTACCCTTGAACAATATCCTAGAACAATACAAACTTGTTTTAACTGGCCATGAGGTAGTGCTCTGAAATATAAATGAAGTTTAGACCAGGGCTATTCAACTGGTGGCCCGCGGGCCATTTCCGGCCAGCAGGTGACTTCAATCCGGCCTACTTCAGAACAATATTTTGGGGGGAGTTTCTGGGTTTGGGTTCTGTTTATTGCATTTATGATTCAATGCAATAAAATAAGCAAATTTAAAAGGTAACAGATCATTGTAAACTTTGGCTTATTTACATAATGATTTTAATCGCTGGATGTCCGGCCCTCGAGCTGTTGCTTTTCAGAAACTGTGGCACCCTGAGCAGTTTAGTTGAATAGTCCTGGTTTAGACAATTGTTTAAACTACAAAAAAAAATTGGTTTGTCATGTATCGACCGATCGCCGATCACCTAAAATTACGGAAATCAAGGTTGATAAATTGGCCGGCCAATGTATCTGTGCACCCCTACTCCAGAGTCACTTAATGCAAAATGCACTACTCCTTTGTTAAATGTGTCAAAATGAACAGAAATCACAACCATACACAAAACATTTACAGTTGTTGAGACAAACGACATATTTACACACCTTGCATATAAACTGAGTACGATCAAAATGGTCTTTATTGCAGCTCATGGGTCACAAGCAAAGTGTTGAATGAACTAGAGACTGTGTTCAAACATGAGCGTAATCATCAATGTAAAGGACCATAGACGTCTGGGTAAATAACCACCTGATGAGAAAGGGCCAATGTGTAAATGTGCCACATTCACCTGAGCCACCAAACCTTGGGTTGGATGGCAGTACTTCACTGATACTTCACTGATAACTGGCCTCTCATCTCAGTAGCTGTTTGCCTGACTCTGACGATCAAAACTAAAACCACTTTAACTGCAGTTACACAGAATACTGCATAAACCTCCGCTTAAAAATAAACTAAAATAGCTTCTTACACAGCAACCGTGATGCCTCTTTTTCCTCAATTCATCGTCAATATTTCTCCATAACGTTCAACTATTAACGTCCTCTCACCTTCTCTCCATGTAATGCAGGCACGGAGTCTCTTAAACCGTGAAAGCTATCTTTGATGTGGTCCCTCCGTTTGCGCTCCAGCGCGTTGTGATGTGCTCGCTTATCAGCCTGCAAAGAGACAGTCTTTATTTGTGCAGGCAATACTTATAAACACAGGTCATTTAAAAGGTGCTTGCATAAAATGTCCTTGTGCGTTAATGTATTAAACACACATCTGAACATACAGCGCAAACCTGCAGCGAAAGTAATGTTTCATGGGGATATGATCTTGTTTGTTTTCCATCGGTTTAAGGGTTGGGCCACACGCACATAAAAACACAGTTTTGATTAAGCTATGTATTTACTCTCCACCATATGCTGTGGAGAGATTGTCATCATTTTAATGTGAATTCATCAGCAGTGGCAAAACAACAACAACAAAAAAACACAAACTACAGAATTTCCATGAAGGTAAAACACACACTGGGAAACAACCTGAGTCAAGGATGAGAGAAAACCCTTCCAATATGCATCTGTTTAAATGCAACTAACAAAAAATGGTTAAATATAAGTATTTTTTATCAATAATATGGACAAAATCTGCAGACAGACTGTAACATTGATCAAATATTTCAATCTAATTATACTTAATAAAGAAAACTTAAGTAAAGTTTAACGTTTTTGTATTTATTTTTGTTATTACCTTAGCAGAAAAAGCCAGATCAAAGTAACATTTAGTAAAAAAAGTTTTGAAGGTAAATTATAAATGACGACATAAATACTTTAAAGGAATTTGGGATGTGCCATCTCAGTCTTGAGGCGAAAACTTTTAACAATTGTTAAATTTAACAACTAGGGCTCAACATGCCAACAAATGAATACTTCCAGCTGCTGGGTAAGGAAGTGAACTTGGAGATCACTGTTACCGTATTTTTCAGCCTATAAGTCACATTTTTTTTGCATAATTTCATGCCCTGCGACTTATAGGCCGAAGTGACATATTTATGGATTTTCCCCCGTATTTATAAACCAATTTTTAGCTGAGATATGACCGTTTTCATTCATTCTGACAGAAAAAAGGAACAGTACCACTTTCAGCTACTAGATGGCAGCAGAGTAGTAGTAGTAGCAGATGGGCATGCCATTGTATCATGTAATAGGTAAACGTGACTATTATGACAAATTCAAAAAAGTTCAAGACAAAAACAACTGGACTTTATTTAATATACTTTACAGTTTTTGTCTTGAACGTTTTTGGAAGTGACCATGTCCTGGATGACTGAGAAGCTTCACCAGCTATTAATAACACAGTCGGCTTGCCACAGTGCCCCCGTGTTCTGCTCGCTGCTTGGAGCAACCCCATCAAACCAGCTGCCCCGCCCCGGCAAAATGCAGCTGATTTGACCGCCAAAGTGCATTTATTAAGCAAAAGTTAGACTGAGACACACCTTTACTATAACTTCAAGCAAACAAATAATTGTTTTTAAGTGTTAATCTTATTAAATTCTTATTAAAGTCCTCCTGTGCATGCTCTCACGGCCGCCAATTGGCAGCCCATCAATTTTTGGCACAACACCGGTCCATATTTCCAGGTTTGGCACACATTTCCATATTGCCAGCGGTGACGCGTAACAAACGCGACGCGTCAGCGGTGACACATAAAAGATGCAACGTATAGGGCGAAGCGACATATTTATGGATTTTTCCACTTTTTTAGACATATTTGGACTGATGCGACTTTTAGGGCGGTGCGACGGGTACGGTGGAAAATACGGTAAATTAAATGGTAGGCAAATAACCCATATCTCAGAAACTGTAAACGAATAAGTAAATGACTATTTTACTGAAGCAACCAACAGCAAAGGTTTCCGTTTCTGCTCTGTGGAGTCATTGCCCACCACCAAATGCGATAATGTTTTATCCCACGTTTGTATGTTATTTTGTTTGTAGTGTTAGCAAAATATCCCTTTAATCAGTGGATGAATTTTAATGTAACTCTCAGAAATTAGCTACTAGATGTACGTATAGAACAAATTCACATTTGAAGTTAATCCAATTCAAGATGGTCGCCAAAGCTAATTATCCTTAGCCCACACAAAAATGACTATAGCCCAGATGTGGTAGTAGCAGAGCATAATCCCCATTGCATATGCAATGTACGTTGCAAAACATCTCTGCTTACAACTGGCGTTAAGTAATTGTGTCAACTGTTTCTTAACCCACTAATAAATTCCTGGTTTGTACAACTCATTAACTTTAAAAGTGTTTGTGACATGCATTTCCTACAAATACAAAAAAATGGAAGAAAACATCCTCATATTTAAGAAATTTGGCATAATATTCAATTTTACATTTTATAATCATGTTATGTTTCTAATAATACATTCTATTTATCACAGAAATATGATGCTGCAAGCATTTTAAAGTCAAGCCAATTCAAGATGTCTGCCACAACTAATACAATTTAGCCAAGACAAAATTGGCAAAGTCAGCTAACTTTAGAAGATACAGCACAGAGATAAGTTTGGTGTGGTAGTAGCTGCGAGTCCTCATCAAATGCAACGAGATCACGCGAGATCTCGCGAGATTACGCATAACGTCATTAACAAGGGTTGACTAAAATGGCTATAACTCAGTCCCTTAACTTCAAATGATGATCTTTGCTTCAAACTCTGGCCTGAAAAGTGGCAGTCGATTTGCATTTATTCGTGAATAAATGCACATTTATTAGAGTCAAATAATTAAAACGTTTATGTATTTTAAAATAACATAACACATAGAGATAAGCGCAGCTTCGCAAGTGTGCAGGGTCTGGGAATACACAGCGATACGAGATGCGCGAAGAGAACATCGAGTACTTGATGCTTATCCATTTCTGCAGGCTGCAAAAGCTAAAGGAAGCAACACCAGATATTTACATCAAATCTTTAACATAATGATCATTGTTTTGCCCATTAATGCTACTGCTAGCTTGTAAATACAGCGATGCTGACGTAATGGGGTTGCCCTCTTTCTTAATAAACAAGCATTGCCTTTACATAAACTGTGCAAAACAGGGTTTAAACAAAACAACTGGAGCTCATATGAAGCAGCAGCATTTTACAGGGACATGATGTTCAAATACATCGCTGTTTATCTTTCTGATGAGCTGGCCTTCCTTTCAGAAACAGCTAAGCTGCTGTTGTTCGTGTTGCATCTAGTTTTCAGTGTCTCTGAAGCTTCACTTGCATTTAAACGGTACAGAATGACTAAATGGGTGTTACATGGTGACTAAAACGGTGCTATAATTGCTAAAAACAAAAGCTGCTAAAACAAGATGACGTTGTTGTAATGTGTTGGGGGGAACAAATTTTCTACTGTAGGCAGTAGGTGTAACTTATGTTCGACTTTTATTTACAAGCTAGCAAGCACACCCAAGAGGGAAAAAAACATCCACTGGTAGGCCAAGCTTTTCTAAAAAAAATAAAAATTTAAATAAATAAATAAACTAGTTAGCCAACAAGCTAACACGCTAGCACAAACACAGCAGGCGGGTTTATTTTATGATGCTTTGTTCAGCTAACAGACCGACTAGCTCAAACTAGAAGAAACCAAAACACATACATCGCTGTCGACTTCGATGTCATCGTTTTCACTCATTCTTCAGTAAAAACGACCTAGAAAAGAAAACAGGCAGCTGTCAAAACAAAGTGCAGCGACAACTGGAGGCAAATACAGCGTAACACGAAGCTCCCGACTGTTTTTCTCCACGTGATTTGCCTACACATGGAACGGAAAAACACGCCAAGCGCATGCGCATTGAAACCAGGCCTTGTGGGAAATGAAGTTTTTTGTATCGCATTGTGACGCGCAGAAACTGGCTCTACTCACTGCCACTGATTCATAAAACCACTGACTTGACACGAAAATGATCCATTTTACTGTGGGACTGGGAAAAATAATGAAAGACCAACTGTTTTTAAACAGGAAGCATTTTTCTCCTCTTACTTTAACTTTAACTCATTAAAAGATTAATTAAGCAAATTATGTTTTTATTTAAACTATTTTTTCATTATATTTCATTTTATTAATGCTAATATAAATTGATATATCGATTTAAATCAAGGTAAATTTGATATATTAAAAAATAAATGCAGTTATATTTGCATTCATTTTGCACAATCAGTATTTTCAGGCAGTACTGTGGCTCAGTTGGTAGAGCTGCTGCCCCTCAGCAGGTTATTCTGATTCAAATCCCGGTCCAGGGGCCTTTCTGGGTGGAGTTTGCATGTTCTCGCCATGCATGCATGGGTTTTCTCCAGTACTCTGGTTTCCTCCCACAGACCAAAAACATGCATGTTAGGCTGGTAACTCTAAATTGTCCAGGTGTGAGTGAGAGAGTGAATGGTTGTTTGTCTCGTTTGTCTCTATGTGGCCCTGTGATGGACTTGCGACCTATCCAGGGTGTACTCCGCCTCTCACAGTGATAGCTGGACATGGACACCGGCGACCCCTGAAGAGGGAAAAGCTGAAAGAAGGAGAAGAGCAGATTAAGCGAGTGTGTGCGTCCTTTACTTAAAAAATCAATCAACCTTTATTTGGACAGGTAAATCCTATTGAGCCTGGAGGACTAAACAGGTCTTGACCCCTCTCTCTGCTCCAATTTCAGGCTTATCTCTAATCTTCCATTTATTTCTAAAATGTTAGAGAAGGTTGTCTACAACCAGTTGTTACCATTTTTAGAGGACAATGCTATCACTGAGCTGTCAGGGTTCAAAGCCTGCCACAGTACAGAGAATACATTTTTGAGGGTATCAAATTATATATTCTTGTCAGTTAACTCTGGAAAGTTTGTTTGTTTGTTGTTTTAGTGCTCTTAGATTTGTCTACTGCATTCGACACCGTTGATCACAGCATTTTAATCTCTCGTCTTGAGCACTGTGTGGGTATTAGGGGTGTCGCCCTCAGCTGGTTTCGGTCCTACCTAACTAATAGGAGTTTCTGTGTAAAAATGGACAATTTTATGTTTTCCACAGCTCCTCTTCCACATGGGGTCCCCCAGGACTCAATCCTTGGCCCTCTTTTATTTGCGCTTTACCTACTCCCCCTCGGCTCTGTTTTTAGGAAACGTGGCATTTCATTTCACTTCTATGCTGATGACTGCCAGATCTATTTCCCTTGGCACAAAACAACACATTCCAGCAACTTGCACACTGCCTTAATGATATTAAGGCATGGTTTTCTATTAACTTTATCAGTCTAAATGAAAACAAGACTGAAATTATGATGTTTGGACCAAGTTGCTGTCCCTTTCCCAGTGTAGATCTTGGCGCACTGTCATGTTTATCTCAGGGACTGTGTCACCAATCTGGGGGTGAAGTTTGAGTCTGATTTTAAGTTTGAAAAACAGCTCAGCAGTGTTGTTCAGAAAAGTTTTTATTAACTTGGCCAAATAGCAAAAGTTAAACCAATCTTAGCAAGACCTGACTTGGAGAAATGAACCCACTCTTTTATCACAGTTCATCTTGACTACTGTAATGCACTATATGTAGGCATTAGCCAAACCTCTCTTGCCTGTCTGCAGCTTGTGCAGAACTCTGCTGCTCGCCTGTTAACTCAGGCCTGTAGGCGCAAGTATATTTCTCCCATAGCGTCCCTTCATTGGCTCCCTGTGCACTACATAATTCATTTTAAGCTCTTGCTATTTGTTTTTAAATGCCTGAACAACCTTGCCCCACCATATCTGTCTGAGCTTCAGCCTTACTGCCCACCCCAATCCCTAAGATCGGCTGATCGGTTGTTGCTGACAGTCCCTAAAACTAGGTTGAAGTTCAGAGATGACAGCACCTCTTTACAACTTCTGCAAAGATTTGGGGCCTGACGATAAACAAGCCCAAAACTGAAGTCATGCACATCAATTGCCCAGATTCAACCCTAATCAAACATCTTCACATAGAAATATTCCACCAACATTCTCTGCTTCTCATTCCAAATATCAAGAGGTGGCAGCACAGAACCAATAGAGGAAATCACACAAACACTAAAACCATGGTTAGTCGTCTCCATGGCCCTGTCATGTATGCTAAATGGATGATGACCAGACACCAAAGCAGCTCCACTTTAGCGAGGTAGCTGAGAGAACGAGTGTTTGTTGTGGCTCCTTGGACTGATGAATCTTTTGGATGAAAGATGAAACGTGTCAACAACACACACAAAAAAAAAAATGTCCAGAGGATCTGACTTAACTGTTGGATTTTTTTTAACCTGGATTATTGAGCATGAACTTTAATCTTTTTAAGAAAACTCTTACAGTGTAAACTTGTCTACTCAGACAGATGTTTTGGACACATCATTTCTAAAACTAACATCCAGCATAGCATTGTCAATGCAAACAGACAATCTGGAGGTTACACTTGTCCCAGAAGCAACAACTGTTCAAATAGTGTCCAAATGGACTTTCTGGGACATTCAGTGTCGCACAACAAACATACAGTCCAAAGGGGTGCAGACAAATGGACATTCTGGAATTTTCTTGGATTTGATAAATTTTTTTAATGACTATACATATTTTTACTTTTACTTTTTTTTTTTTTTTTTTTTACAAAAAATTACAAGTGTTTTTCCATTTATTTTCTCATTTATTTATATTTTATATGATTTTTTTCCCCAAAATACCCCCCCCCCACACACACACACACAGAGGTGAACACACACTTTCAGTCAAATATTTTAATACAGTATTTAAAAAAAACAAGTCTGTATTTTTATTTATTTATTTTTTTACTGTTTTTGTACATTTCATTTGGGTCTTCATAAGTTTAAATGTAATAATCATGTAACCATAAATCATATCTAACTCTGCTGAGCATTGTTGCCTCACAGCAAGTTTTTGGATGGTGTCCTAGATGGGGGCCATCTGGGGGACTTCAGTGTCCATGAGGGCAATAATGAATGGATGAAAGAACAGATCAACAAATGAAGGAATGATTATGTTCAATAAAAGTTAAATGGATTCACAACTGAGTATAAATTCACTCTTTATGTCTAAGAAAACTGTTATGTATCAACACAAGCTAAAACCTAGCATTTGAGGTTTTTAGTTACAAAATGGTCTCAGAAATATATCTATCCTTGTTCCTGAAAAAAAGATCCCTAAAATGGAAACATTGAGAAGCTTCCTTGTTCTCACTGATGTTATAAACTCCAGTGAGATAGTCCTTCCCATAATGTGCAAATCAGAGTCAGAGTTTCTTTATTTGTCATAACCACCACATGCGACACAGTGGAACAAAATTGTTTACACAAGGTCCCAGTTATATCCAACAAAAGTATAAAATGCAAAAGAAAAGCAGTAATAAGATCTAATATATGAACTAAGAAAAACTTTAACAAAAAATACGCTAAGCACTAGTACGGTAGTACAAAAACAATACGACGAACAGCAGCACGAACATGAGTCTGTGTGAGCAGACGAGTATGAATGAACACAGCAACATAACACAAATCAGTAGCATGATGTGATTTTTTTCACATTGATTATCCTGGTTAGAGTTTCAGTTTCAGCCTCAAGGTAGAAGCTGTTCCTCAGTCTAGTGGTTCTACACTTAATGCTCCTCAACCTCCTGCCTGAGGGGAGCAAGGCAAAAAGTGTGTGTGCTGGGCAGGGGCGGGCTAGCACAATAATCCAGGTTGGGAATTTGATACCATCCCAGGTCACCACCACCCGATTAACGCAAACCACAAAGACAGAGTTAATTTAAGTGCACTTTTGAACACCATATTCAATTCAATTCCAAAGTACTTTATTAATCCCAGAGGGAAATTAAATGTTGTTGAAACTCATCATCCTGGATTCATTAAAGAGTTGTTCTAGATGCTGATGGCTGTGGGCAGGAAGGATCTCTTGTCTGTCTTACAGTGGATCTGAAGAAGCCTCTGACTGAAGACACTCTGTTGTTGTATGACAGTCTGATGAAGAGGATGCTGAAGGTTGTCTATAATGTTCTTCATTTCATGAAGAATCCTTCTTTGTACAATCATCTCCAAAGGTTCTAGAGGAGTCCCCAGAACTGAACCAGCCTTCTTTATGAGCTTGTTGAGCTTTTTTAAGTCACTTGCTCTGGTGCTGCTACCCCAGCAGATGATGGCAGAAAAGATAGCGCTCTCTACAACAGACTTATAGAAGACATGCAGCATCTTGCTGCAAACATTGAAGGACTTCAGCTTCCTCAAGAAGTACAGTCTGCTCTGTCCCTTCTTGTAGACGCTTCACTGTTGCATTTCCAGTCCAGTCTGTTGTCCAGGTGAACCTCAAGGTATTTATACTTCTCCACCACCTCCACGTCTTCTCCCATGATGGAAATAGTGTTGGATCTGTTCCTGTTTCTCCTGAAATCTACAATCATCTCCTTTGTTTTGTTCACATTCAAGATGAGATGATTGTTTCCACACCATGCCACAAAGTGGTCCACCAGTTCCCTGTACTCACGAGGGAGGGCTGCTGACCATAGAAGACTTTCAGTATTGCGATATTAAACAAGAATTCCTCAGTTGTGTTTGGTGCTGTTTCCTTGTTAATCAGCCTGCAGGGTTAACCAACCATGTTGTCACGAGACCATGTGATAAAGGGGCTCAAATACAGAGAAGAGGGGTCAGACTCAAGAATGTGTGGGCGAGCACTGTTTGAAGCTGCAACTAGTGGCTTGAAATGGAGGTAAGAAAGTGTCTTTTTCTAACATATGCCATTAGATTTTATTTTAATACGCACCATAAACCTGCTGGATCGACTATTTTACATAAGATGTGCGTTTAACTGTTCGTTTAGCTTTAAAGGCATTTTCTGTTATACATTTATGCTAAATTGATACGATTAGTTTTTTAATGTAGAAAACACTTCCAATATTTGATACAGAATGTGGTAAAGTTTTGGTGGATGATTGATGAGGGTAAATAAATAGTTTTGATTTAGGTTTGACTTTTTCTTTAAATGACTTTTTATTATTTTATAGTTTTGGCCTCATTTGCTTCTCAGTTTCAGCCACAGTCTAAATTATGTTTGGGCCGAGGAACCAAAAGCTACCCTGTTAGACTAGAAAACAAAACAAAACCAAAACAAAACAAAAAAATGGACGCAGGGATGTGGACTAAAAAAAAGGCAAAAAATATTCACCTCACGCTTGTTTGTGTGTGATGAAAAAGAAGGACCCAACTTTTCTTCAAATTAGTTACAATGGGTTCTGTTCTTTGTGCAGTAAAGAGTTAACATGAAAGTACTGGCTAAGTATTAGAAAGTTCATTCAAGTCTAAATAAATAAAAATCCACATGAAACCTGTTCATTGAAATCTAATTGCATTTCCATTTGATTTGGTTTCAAACAGTAACATTTAGTTAACAGGCCGTCTAAAGTGCCACTTTACTAAAATTTGTCTTGCAAAGAAAAACAATCTATTAGCTCAGATTTTTTTATTTTTATACCTCAGTTCTGTTCTCTTAATCCTTTCACGAAAAAATAATCCATGTGACAAAACCAGAGCTGCAGAAGGAGTTGACTCAAAGAGGGAGGCCCTGCAAACACAAAAGCACAAACTGGACTGCAATACAGTAAAACACAACAATTAGGAAATGAGCTAAAAAATGCTAAAAATAGCAACAACAAAAAATCTAAAACGTGGCCAAAAAGGCAGAAAGAAGCTTAACCTATCAGAAGGAAGTGGAAACAGCTGAAATTAGCTAAAAATGTGAAATTAGTTGAAAAAGTTAAAATGTCATAAAACAGCTAAATATCTGAAATAGCAGAAATAGCTGAAACTAGCTCAGAATAGGTGAAAGGAGTATAACAAACTGAAAGCAAAGTTAATTAGGTTGAAAGTATCAAAAATTACCAAGTCAAACTTGAATTAATCTGAAAACAGCTAAAATTTTCTAAAAATTTCCAAAAAGGTAGCTGAAAAGTTAGAACAAGCTTAATTAGCATAAGAAAGTAGAAAGAACATGTTTGCCCAACTAGGCTGAAAGAAGCAGAAATGAACACAAAAAATAGAAATTATTTGAAAAAAGCTGAAATTAGCAAAGAACACCTGAAAAGTAGCTAAAAAGCAGAACAATGCTTAAAATACCAGAAGGAAGTGGAGAGGCTGAAAAAAGTTAAAATGGGTGTAACAAAGGTGGAATTAACCGAAAATTTTAAATTTAGCATAAAACAGCTATATAGTAGCTGAAATAGTAGAAAAAGCTGAAACTTGCAGCAATAAGCTAAAAGGAGCATAACAAGCTGGAATTAGCAGAAAGAAGTTAGAAGAGGCACAAAAATGTTGTAGTTAGCAGAACTAATCTAAAAGAAGCACAAAACAGCTGTGGAAAACAATAGCTGAAAGTAGCTGAAAAAAGTTTAAATTTGCACAAGCAAGCTAAAAGAAGCTGAACCAAAACAAAATGTGAAAGGAGCAATACAAGGTTGTAAACACATCTGAAGATTTGAAGGAGGTAAAATGAGCTCCATTCATTTCCTATGAGAAAAAAAATGGCAGTAAAGGCTAAATATTTCAAAAAGCTAAAGTTGCATTAATACCAAAAGTCATTGCAGGATTGTCCTGAAAGAGCTGAACGTTTTGATTTCTGATTTGTTGAAATAGCTTGAAAACTGCAGGACTAGAATCATGGCGAAAAACGTACGGATGAAAAATGGATCACAAGTGTGAATGCATCATAAATATTCACACAATAATGGGACATAACAAAACCCTTGTGTACCATGTCTAGATGCCAATGCTTATTTTATTTCATTGCATGTTATTTTTAAAAAGTTTGGTTTTGTGAAAGATAGTGATCGATACAGCATTATCTCTCTATTTTTTTAATTATGTAAATGACTAAAGAAAAGTAATTAGTATCATGTAGTTGAAAACCTACATGCCACTAACATTAGTTTCACTATTCCTTCCCCGAGGAGTACATCAGGGAGGTTTAAATTACTTGAGGATTGACTCATGTGTCAGACTTGTACACAGTGTCCAAAGCTATGGCTTGTTTTTGTTCCAGTGGAAAACCGTGTCATGAATATTAAGAGCCACCGTTTCGCTGAGTCTCTTTTACGTCTGAACTCTGTTCTTAAAACTCAAGCATGTTTTCAGAAAAAGCAGATCGTTGGCATGATGAGCCATATTTTACATGCACATTAAAAATAAAAAAAGAAGCCGCTTATCTTCCCCGTGTGTGGAGATAAGCTCTTAGAGAGTGGATCTGAACTTTTAAAAGAGGCAACGTTCAGCTTTCATCTTAGAAACACATCAGTCTACTGTACGTGTCTAAAAAACAGAGCACATTTTAAATGGTTGCCTTAACTTTAAAACGGAAATCTTGAAAACTACTCCCATATTCCCATGGCTTTAGCCTGAAATAAGAAGAAACACATAAAGCTGCAAGTTTTGGCATTTGGGTTTTAACAGACTTTTACCCAGAATTCTTTCTGAGGTCATTCTCTTTCCTCCTTCTTTGCATTCTCTACTACAGAAACAGAAATGCCATACTTTGTCTTAGTTTTTTATTTGTAAAAGTACACAAACAAATGCATTCACTGTGACAGTTACTGCCTGCAAGTGGAGATATTTCTCTTTGCAAGTGACCTTTCTATTGCCTCGGGTGGCATCATCTGCCTTGTTAATGACTAATTTACAGCTTGCAAACTTTTTAACCTCTGTTTCCTTTTTGTTCCTGTGACAGATGAAGACAACAGCACAGTGAAGTAAGTGTTGGAAGAACTGCCACAATGAATGTGACAACAGGCCATGTGGGAATAATCAACACCTTTAATATCAGTGGCATCTCTGCTAATGGCAGCACGGGCATCCTGGACATCCCTAAATACATAAACACAGCCATCAATGTTTTGACCATCACCATCCTCTTCATCACTATGATTTCCCTTGGCTGCACAATGGAGATCTCCAAAATTAAAGCCCATCTTGTCAAGCCAAAAGGAGTGGCCATTGCACTGCTGGCCCAGTTCTGCATTATGCCCCTCACTGCTTTCTCCTTGGCCAAAATCCTGCAGCTGCATCCCATTAAGGCCATAACCGTGCTCATCTGTGGCTGCTGTCCAGGTGGAAGTTTGTCAAATATTTTTTCACTAATAGTGAAAGGTGATATGAATCTCAGGTAAACCTCTCATAGTTGCATCAATTCTGATAATCCAAGGCCTTGATTTGACACCTGTGTTCCTAACGTTTGTTCCTTTAAATTGACATCCTGCCAGCATCGTCATGACAACTTGCTCCAGCATCGCAGCCCTGGGTCTCATGCCTCTGCTGCTGTACGTCTTCAGCCAAGGCTTCACTGGTCTGGAAAATGCTGTGCCATATGTTGGCATCATCACCGCCCTCGTATCCACACTGGTGCCTTGTGCCGTTGGCATTCTCATCAATCACTACAAACCAAACTACTCAGCAGCTGTCACAAAAGTAAGAGACAAAGAACTGTCATGCATCAAAAGAGCATTTATGGAAAAGACCCTTTGAATGGTAGTTTTTGTGACTATAAAGGTTCGTACGACAGGACGCCATTTAGTGACTAAACCCAGAACTTGACGTTTTTTTGTTGTTGCTGCAAAAAGAAATAGAAAAAGAAAATGTTGAAATCCGCCATCATCTTGGAGGATTCCTTGTAATATGCTCGTTTTGATTTTGACAGGCTGGTCTCATCATCCTGACGTTTTCCACCATCGTAGTTTCGGTCCTGTCGGGTTTTGTTGTGAAGGACGTGATATGGATGATCTTCATGCCCGACGTCGTCTCTGTGGCTGTGCTGATGCCTTTGATCGGTTTTACGCTGGGATATGTCATGTCAGTCATTTGCAAACTCAGTCCAAAGTAGGTGAAAAACACACTGTGCATTATTTATTTGTTCACGCCGTGTAAGCAGAATTATAACTGTGCCTCAAGGGCAGCGCTGCTACAATCTGTTTATCACCGCCTGCTATGAAAGACCATTTGTATTTACAGAGTAAAATGAAATGATGCAATGCACATTTAAAAATAAACTGACCTCAAACTACAGCTGATAAAAACACTACGTTCTACTTTGAAATGATTACCAGGTCTTCAATGATTTGGAGCTTTTTACTTTAATGAGGAATTAAACTCCCACCAAAAGCAGAAATTTGTAAGACCATTGGCCAGAAGGGTAAGTCAACCCAACAATTTACCCTGATTTTTTTTAATCTAAAACTTTAATATTTATGTTTTTAACATCTTTACACATTCAAAAACACTGGTGATAACATTCTAAAAAAGATGAAACTTATTAATCTGCATTCCACTATCAAATATTTGGTGCCATTATGTACAAACAGAGTTAAGCTAGTTATACCACTGTACTCAAATCATGACTAATCTAGTTTTATTTTCATGTTTGAAGAAATTTTGGATATGAACTTTTAACATAAAAGATGGACTTTAGATGAACTGCTAATTGCAGCAAAGCAAACATCTGTCACTAAGCAGTGGATGTGTATCAATCTTACTAATTATCATTAGAATTAGTCTTTAGAAATGTTGTCAAACAACAATAAAGCAACAAAATGTGACTACGTTCACACATTACAGGAACTGAGAGGCACCTTGATAAATCCTTTCAGGTTAGACAGAAATATTTCTGTCATTTTAAAGTATGTCTGAAATGTTATTTTATAGAAATCAAAATCTTACTTCTAACCTACAAAGCCCTCAACAACCTAGCTCCATCTTATATTACAGATCTTATTGTTCCATATTTTCCTAACAGAACGCTTCGCTTTCAGACTGCAGGCTTACTTGTGGTCCCTAGAGTTTTCAAGAGCAGAATGGGAGGAAGATCTTCCAGTTATCAGGCTCCTCTCTTGTGGAACCAACTTACGGTTTCTGTCCGTGAGCCAGACACATTGTCCAGTTTTAAGACTGGGATTAAGATTTTCCTTTTTGACAAATCTTATAGTTAGGGTTGGCTTGTTATGCCACTATAGGCTTAGAGGACAAACTGATCTCATTCCTTTGCAATTGAATAGTTTTCATTTAATACTATTTCTATATTAACATGTGATTCTCAACCTGCCATTGTGTATCTGTTCCTCCTTCCTGTTCCTCTCAAACCCAGCCGGTTCAAGTAGATGGCCACTTGTCCTGAGTTCTGCTAAAGGTTTCATCCTCATGAGGGAGTTTTTCCTTTCCATTGTTGCCTTCATGTTTGCTCATGAGATTTCTGCGATGAAGTTAGGCTCAAAACAGTCTGCTCCTCAGATAGTGTTAACTTATTATTTTGTATTTTAAGGTTTCTGTTCAGTGCCCTGAAATGACTTCTGTTGTGACTTGGTGCTATATACATAAACTGAATTTAAATTATGTTTTATTTTAATTGGAGTAATATAATGTAATAGCCTCACAATGTCTTTCTCAGGTGCAGCAGAACCATCTCCATGGAGACAGGATGTCAAAACATCCAGCTGTGCACCACCATTCTAAAGGTGGCCTTTCCCCCGCAGGTCATTGGACCCATGTTTCTCTTCCCTCTGTTATACATCATGTTCCAGTGCGCTGAGGCCCTCCTCCTGGCCTTGTGCTTCAGATATTACCAAACAGTCAAGCCACCTGCTGGGGGTAAGTACAAAAGCTGCTCGCCTGTTTGTGCTGAGAGGATAAAGAAGAAAGGATCAAATGAGCAAGTGCAAAGGTTTTTGGAGCATTTTGGCGTTTTAAATCCAAATTAAGACCTTTCAATATTTTCATTGCAGATACTGGAACACAGAAACATGTTGGTGTTAATCAAGACGAGGTGAAACAGCCATGACAGCGTTAAAGAGAGGATTCCTGGATGAACTCATTCAGGGCCGTGACGCAGACTGGAAGACTTACAAAGAACTACTTTTACGTTCAAATAAGAAGTTGAACTGCTCAAATCGTGTATTTATGTTTTACATGCAAAATATCTTGTGTAAAATTCTGATTTGATCATTTATGCATAAAATTATTATCAAGTTGTCAAATTTTCACTGGCTTTTTTCCAAGACTCAAGAATCGCATACTCAGATAAAACTATATAAAAAAAAAAAGAAACAAAAAAGCAGGATACCATCAGTTTCAACACATCAAATAATATTTAATCAAACTGACATATATACAGGATAAACATAACTTAAAACTTTTTACATATATTAAAATACCACCTTAACTAAAAACAAATCAACCCAGTCAACACTAAGATCACATTAATCTGTACACTTCTCTTTTTTTGTGTGACGTATAGTTCTTCCCGATCAATTTTACAGTGTCACATATAACATGCCTGCAGCGGAAGTTAAAAATGAAAAAAAAAAAAAGCTAAAAAAACCTACTGTTAATGGTTTCCATGAGCTGCAGAGGCGTCACAAGCCATGGCTGATCAACAGCTTTATCTGCACAAATAAATTACGTACACGCTTAGGTTTAAAGCAAGAATTCCTCAGCAGCCTCAATAAATTAACATGACAATATCTTCAGGTGCACAGGTGATATGTTTGACAACGCCACACATAATATCATTAAGCAGTGGAGGCATTTAACTCACATTCATTATTCAAACTCCTTATTACACATATTATAGATATGTGTGCATAGAAGTGGGAAGCTAAGGCTTTGCAGGGGTGGGGATTAGCATAAAGAGAAAAACATTTAGAAACAATAAGTTAAGTGCAGGCGCTCATAGTTGGACACAACGTCTTATTCTACAGCGATGAGTGATATGAGTCATGATTATTCGTTTGAAATTTAAATATTTAAAAGACAAAATAGTGAACTTTCATTCCTTGCCATCATGCATCTTTGTGTTTAAGTGATAAAATGTGAAAAGTAACAGTAAACAAGACACATATTACATTTTCAGTTTTCAGAACGAGTTTGCAGCTTTGCTCATATACGTGAAATGCATGAGTCTCTTTTTTTAATACATCTTTTTTGTTCTTATGCACTCCACATTACAAATCCAGTTTCAGATGTCAGACAAACATACACACCGTGGGAGTGCCCATACAAATGTAAGCGTGTATACACATGAAAGTCTCTTCTCTGCATTCCTTTGGGATGGTCAGATGAACTATTCAGAGTGAAACACAGCTTCCCTCTGAGCGACTGTTGTTGACAAACTCCTGCTATCCAGCACAGGTCATTAGGAAAGACGTCGTCTCCGGTGAGTCCAAAGGTCGTGGCATGATTCAGGCTTCCTTCAGTAATGGCATATCTGTGAGCAACAGAGTGCGTTATAACTAAGTCATGCTTTTAAATATGATGGGTGTGGGATTAAAATAAATTTTACCATCTGAGTAGTCCATCTCAGAGTCTAGTGACAGGCTTTGTTGGTCACTGGCTGCAGACGGCCTTCTGTGTGAGGATGAGGAGCCTCCAATGGCGCCTCCATGTTCCAGACCCCAAACAGAAGACAAAGGTGAAGGGGAAGAGGAGGATGGGAGCACGGGGTGGACCACCGCCATCTCTGACTGCTGCTGTTTGAGGGAAGATGGTCTGGTGGGCCCAGCCTCTGGTGTTGAGGCATGCTGACCCTCAGACAACACTATCTGGACTCGAGACTCAGAGCTGAGTGTTGACGCTCCGCTGCTGTTCACCGCTTCCTCATAGGAAGGCAGAGTCACCTGGACTCCTTCCACCATGATGGTCACCGCCTGCCCCGACACACCGGGATCACGTCTAAGTGTGGAGGACAAGAGTGGATTTAGAGTCTTGTTTTTTTTTCTGATTAGTCTCCTTAAATATGGCTTCAAATTTAAGACTCACCGATGGAACGACTTGAGTTTAGGCTGCAAAAGCACAAACAGCACCACCAGGAGCAGGATGAGAGCCACTGAGGAAGCTGTGGAAGCAACTATGGACAAAGCTGGCATCCCTAGAGGCAAAGCTAGACTGTGGTCTTTGAGATAGATAAACAATAAATTATCTACACACAATGTTAAAAAGGTTACTTGAATATGTCAAAAATAGCATCTGATCTACCTTGCTCCATGACGCAGCTCAGCTTCACTTGGCTGTCCCACTCCCCATACTGACAGGTAAGATATTTATAGTCTCCCTTCAGAATATAACCTTCGTCGCAGAAATACTCAATAACGGTGCCGTGAGAAAGTCTTCGGCATGGGGAGGGGTGGCATGTGAAGCCTCCGTTCTCCGGCTGATACGGAAGCTGACATTCTGTCCAGGAAACGAGAAACAAACAGAATGTTGCATCAGCAGTAAAACAAAGATAAAACTGAACTGTTGCTCTTGCAGACAAAAGAGCAGATAAGTTACGTTTTCTTTATCAATTTCAGAATATTCAAAACCACACAACTCAGAAAGGCAGATCAAAATATATACCGAATGCATAACAAGTTAAAGAGGGACAATGATGAGTCTTTACCGTCACTGCGTATGCAGCGTGGAGGTTCAGAGGACCAGTGACCCAGTGTGGTGCAGGTGAGGATGCTGGGCCCCTCCAACATGTAACCAGGATCACAGCTGTACTGAAGTATTGAGCCGATGGAGAATAAGCTACTGTTCATGTCTGTCAGGTTACTAGAGCCGTGCTGCACCATTGAAGGTCTGACACAACCTTAGAAGTGAGACCAGAGTGAATAGTGCTGTTAATAACTACAGCTGACAAACACAGGCTTCATTTCTGTGGCATTTCTTTGAAATAATCTACCTTGTTTGATAACACAGCTGATTGACATCAGGTTGTCCCATTTCCCATAATGACAGGTCCGAAACTTGTAGTCTCCTTTCAGAACATAACCTTCATCACAGAAATACTGGACGACAGTGCCGTGAGAAAATCGTCTGCATGGGGAGGGGTGGCACGAGTAACCTCCGTTTTCTGGTTGATATGGAGGCTGACAAACTATCCGGGGAAATAAACAGAATAAATGTACAAATCATTAGCACGATATGTAATTCACTTCAAGGGTTTCAAGTCTCAAACCGTACATATGCGAGTAATGTATTTAATGTGAGTCCATGACACAGTTCAGTATGTTGATCTCTTGTTTTACCATCACTACGTATGCAGCGAGGAAGATTGGAGGACCAGTCTCCGATTGTTGTGCAGGTAAGGATGCTGCGTCCAACCAGCATGTAACCAGGGTCACAGCTGTACTGTAGTACCGTGCCGACTGGGAACAAGCTGGTGTTGGTGTCGGTCAGATTAGTTGAACCATACTGCACCACAGAAGGCCTTATACAACCTTTAACATTAGAGAATAATTTATAATGAACAGGTTGTTTGCTGTGAATACAATTTAAATGTTTTGTTGAACAAAAGATCTTGAAGAAAGTTGACTCATTTTCACAGCTAACATCCTCTTAAACCAATTTATTCTCAGAATACAAGTCTGGAGACCATGGCATGCTAAAGATATAAGACAGTATATCATACAAACCAACCTTTGCTTACACAACTGATCTGCATGGGGCCGTCCCATTGTCCATCCTGGCAGGTCAAGTATGGATAGTCTCCACTGAGAGCAAAACCTTCATTACAGATAAATTCAATTATAGTGCCGTGGGAAAACAATCGACATGGGGACGGATGGCAGGTGTAGCCCCCATTCTCAGGTTTGGAGAGGGGTAAACATGCTGGTGAAGAAAAAGTATGTTAGCTTCTACACGATTAAAAAATAATTACAAAAAACGGTGGAACAAGTGTCTTACCACCACTGCGTATACACTGAGGCGGTTCAGAGGACCACCGCCCTATTGTAGTGCAAGTGAGAATGCTGGGTCCGTTTGGCAAGTAACCGGGGTCACAGCTGTACTGCAGAACCGTGCCCACAGGGAACAAGCCCCTGTTCGTGTCTGTGAGGTTTACCCAGCTGTTCTGGACCATGTATGGCCTCACACATCCTGGGAAACGAGGCCCAGAGAGGGGTAAAAATCAATAAAACTATAATGTTTTAATAAAAATATGAGCCACATATAAGTCACATATTGTACTAATGTGTGTTACCTGAACCCAGCCCGGTAGAGACTAGAGTCAGTACCAGCAGCAACAAAAAGGACTGTTTAGTGTTAGTGTGGGCCCAAAAGGCATTTGAAATGGACTCTATCATTCCATTGCACATCTTCCCCTTCAGATTCAGCCCAACCTATAGAAAAATGATACAAACGCAATGGTAAATAGTAAATCCCCTTCTTTATGGTGACACCTGCACGTCGCAGGTACATTGCAGAGCTTGGGCCGGTGGGTGTGATCACAACGACTCCGAGACAGAACTGTGCGCATAAACATTGGTGATAAACATGTAACTGGTGGCGTTTAGCTCGTTAAGGTTTCTGAACAAAGCGGCTCTGAATATTTAATGTTTATCATATAAAATGTAACTGTGTCAGTGCACTGAACGCCAATTATTCAGCTGATCCGTTTCGTTACAGGAGGGGAAATGGCCCACCTCAAACAAAAGATGGGCTACATCTTGTACAAAACGTCAATGCTAAGTGGCTAGCATCTGGGCTCTCACCGATATAAATGTGTCATCTTAAAAAATACACTGTACGTGACTGTAATTGCTATGAGGAGCGAAGTATCTCCGGCAATCAATATAACCATCCTTAGCTTGCTAACTGGACGTTAATGGATCGTTACCTACCACGAAAAAAAAAACCACGGCCTCAGTCAGAACCTCCACCGTCACAACCTCACGATGTCGACATTTTTAAAATAAGTCAGCGACGCTGAGGGGGTTACAATTTTAAGCAGATAAATAAATAAATAAATATAGCAATAACCCTATGTGCCCACCAGCAGCCCTAAGCTAACCACTGGCTACCTCCCTAGCAGCTGAACCCCACACGCTAAGTGACTGCATCGGTTCAGGCACCAGCTGTGCTGTCTCATTTCCCATCGTACCCATAGTAACAAACGTCCATAGTTACAACATCCGGGAACGTTTGCGTCCGTAGATACAAAACATTTAGCGGTGTTTTGTCGAAAAAAGTACCCCCAGTGTAAAAGGCAATTCCGTTACGCGAAGAGCTTTTCAGGACTTTGTTTGTGCTCATGAATTTAATAAAAGTCAAAAGCGACAAACTGATTCCGAGATTTCTGTACCTATAAGGACGCAATTACTTAACATTGTTGTATTATGATATTTAGGCGCGTTTTTAATAATCTGTCAGAAACCATTGCACAATCTGGTAGCACAAACTATTTTACACTTGAATATCAAGTCATAACTTTCCAAGGGATGCATACATAATTCACAAAAAAAAAAAGACCTCAAGTCCATTTTGAGTGTGTATGTGTGACTTTTTTTTTGAAAAACTCCCGTTTACTGCGCCGTCCCCAACTGGGGTGTTTTTTTCGACACAACACCAGTTAGCAGACGCTAAAGACTTGCTGCAACTACCTCACCTTCCGTAACAGTTTTTAAGTTAACGTCATGGAAATTATCAGAGGAAGTTTAGATGCCATATCGCGGCCTGCATCAAGCGAGCAGACATGCAGCCGTGCGTCCAGCAGCTTCTTACGTCATCATAGAGAAAGAGTTGGTCCTCCTACACCCATTGAACTTGTTGTTTTGTCCAACGACCCTGTTGATATTCAGGTAAATAAATACTTTTT